AGGTAAAACTTTTGCCATATACGTACGGCAAAATCTTACCATAGTCAAAACCCCATAGGAATATCCTACGGTATTTATTTATACGGCTAATTTTTACCATAAAGCTAAGATGCGCTATCACTTATGAAGAAATTTTTCCATAGCCTATGGTACACCTTTGCCATACAGCTATGGCAATATTTCTCCATCGGTACTTCACCATAGAGTTATACATCAAAAAATTATTACCATTTGATTACAAGAATCTTTTACGCATAAATGTCATATAGATCTCTATGGTTACCATAGTTTATACTACACCCCACGAAACCCTAAATCAGACGATGAATATGGTACATTACATCATTGCATGCTTAACGCATTGTATTCCTTACATCAAATTAAAATATATTCGGGATAAAGAAAAATAACTGGATCTTTGCATTTTCTTTAAACTATCGAAATTGAATTTTATGTTTAGGTTTATAAATATTAGATTAAGTTTATTGGCATACCTTGCACTAAAATTTTAAAAAAATATATCAACATAAAATGATCGCATAAAAGTACGAATACTATTATGAAGCGAGTGTTTGGATTTCAAGGATTTATTTTGAAAAGTTTTCGGAAATTACTTTAATAATGTACGTGTATGTTTTCATTTCGAGGTGATTTTATAATGTATGTTTTAAATGTCGATGCGTGTGCAACAAAATTTACGGAAGACCATTTAAAATTGAAATTAATTTATAAACATTTTACCGTTTGTTTAAAAAGATTGAATGATTGTAAACTATGATGGTGTGTTGCCCGCATATTGAATGAATTTTAGATTTTCTTTTATTCTAATAGCAGAAAAATCCGAATTCTAAAACCGAATTCACTATTGTTATACCCATATTGGTAAAACCTTCTATCATTTTAACAGAGAAAACCGAATTCTGAAACCGAATTCACTATTCTAATACCCATATTGGTAAAACCTTCTATCATTTTAACAGAAAAAACTGAATTCCAAAACCGAATTCACTATTCTAATACCCATATTGGTTAAATCTTCTATCATTTTAAAAGAGAAAACGGAATTCACTATTCTAATACCCATATTGGTAAAATCTTCTATCATTTTAACAGAGAAAACCGAATTCACTATTCTAATAACCATATTGGTTAAATCTTCTATCATTTTAAAAGAGAAAACGGAATTATTTATTCTAATAATCATATTGGTAATATCTTCTATCATTTTAACAGAGAAAATCGAATTCTAAAACCGAATTCACTATTCTAATAACCATATTGGTAAAACCTACTATCATTTCAACAGAGAAAACCGAATTCACTATTCTAATAACCATATTGGTAAAATCTTCTATCGTTTTAACAGAGAAAACCAAATTCACTATTCTAATACCCATATCGGTAAACTCTTCTATAATTTTAATAGAGAAAATCGAATTCTAAAACCGAATTCACTATTCTAATAACCATATTGGTAAAACCTACTATCATTTCAACAGAGAAAACCGAATTCACTATTCTAATAACCATATTGGTAAAATCTTCTATCATTTTAACAGAGAAAACCGAATTCACTAATGTAATACCCATATTGGTAAAACCTACTATCATTTCAACAGAGAAAACCGAATTCACTATTTTAATAACCATATTGGTAAAATCTTCTATCATTTTAACAGAAAAAAAATATTATATTTGGCGACATATATTTTCCGAACTCAAAGACCCGAAAGTGTGCCTTCCTTTATCCATGATTGAAATTATTTTTGGAATTGCTGTCCCAAATTCGATTATTATAAGCAATGCTCACAAAATCTAACAATTTTTAAAGAAAAAAAGATAGAATCATAGATATCAGTATTTTTTATCAATTAAGTACTAATAAATTTAATACACGTCAAGTACAAATAAATTGTACTGAATTTTCAGTTGTTTATCTCTGCTGAGTTGTAGTCAAAAGACAACTAATATATCAAAAAATGAGTAAAATAAAATTGATGAATTTACTTGAATTGTTTCGAGCGAATAATTTAATCGATAAACATCTTCGAATTATTTTTGTGTAAGAAAGATTGAATGATTTTTTTGAACTTTTCAATTTTTGCAAAACTAGTAAAAGTATGTAAGCCACCATTTAGGCAAATAATGTGCGATTCCTAATAATTTTTTTCCCACTTTGAATCGAATATCATTCAACACGAGTCAAAAAGACTAATCATTTAAAAATGACAAGGAATTAGCATAAAAATTACTATTTTTGTCTTTTATTTATTAGATCAACTTATGCACTGTTATATTCATAAAAATCTTTAACCGCTACTAATCTTACAGTCTCGTACTAGTCTCATTCGATTTTAGAGTAAAGCCTATAGTCTGTCTGTGGTAAGAACTCCCCCCGCCACAAAGTCTGACGCCGTCTGCTGCTATGGAAACAAGAATAGCGCATTTCAGGGAAGGTAGCTCCTCTTCACTCTGGGGCAAACCCAGTAGATAGAAGAAAAAGATTTCCTTTCTGTTCCGAGTCAAAACCTGTCTTAAACACTGATCACACACCCCTACTTGAAATAGTTATACCTCGTCATAGTCACCGACACGGGTCCAGACGAATGGCTAAGGGAGTTCTTACTTTAGACAAACTACAGATAGCCATAGTTAAGAATCCAACGTTGCTTAAAGGTGTTCCATTTTCTAACTTACTATGGATGATGTTTTCAATATAAATGTAAACAACAACAATCTCGACCTGCTCTGCTTCCGGTTACATAGTACACAGCTGCTTACTATTGCTTAATCAGCGAAGCGATATTTTTAAAACGATAATTTTGTTTCATAAGATATAAGAAAACGATCATCTGTATTTCGTAAGATATTAATATCATTGTGGTGAGTTTGAAGTGAAAATTTTAAATTTAGTTATTTAGAGATGTGTTGTTAAAAAAGGAGACATGGTTGTTAGATTCGAAAAGAACTTTACAGGGCAAGTTTTGATTTGACCTCGTTTTACTTGCTGTTTGCTCTTGGTGTAATCCGTGCATCGTCATACGTTAGTGTTGGCATGTTATTCGATATTGAGTTCATTTTACAAAAAATATCATTTAGGTTTAAATTTCGAAGTTGGTATGTTGTTAACAGGGTAAGAAGTGTTGAATAACGATTCTTTTTTCAAATGACAATTCTTACATGACAAATCTTCAAATGATGATTCTTCTTTTAACGTTAATGTATACCTATTTCTTCTACAGCAGGTCAAATCGGCTCCCCTAATTTTTTGAGTTATATATATATATATATATATATATATATATATATATACAGGGTTATTCATAATTCCCTCCGGGGTTTCGAATCGTTATAGTAAAAAAACAGAAGACGAATATGAAAAAAAAGAAACATATGAAATTATTCCGAAACTATTCAAGTTTTACTTACATACATTACAGGTGTTCTATGTGTGAACCCTTACGAATAAAGGAA